CATCTTTTTAATCCAGTCATCTACTTTTGGGCATTTGGGCTGCTTCCATGTTTTTCCAATTGTAAATAAAGCAGCAATAAACATGGGTCACCCCCATTTTTTATCCCATTCCTCATTCCACCCCCATAAAATGTCTCTGGTATATAGTTGTTCATTATAATTATTATTATTTTCTCCCCTGTTCCTTTATACTCCTGCTATGAGTGAAACCAAGGGATGGATTAGTTTTAAAGTGTAAAATACAGTAAAAGGTTTTCCTTTTTAAATAAACTTTCACAAAGAGAGAACAGGGAGAAGCAAATAACTTCTCAGAAGGGGAAGAAACTTTCTTCAAGGAACTAAAGCAAAAATTCCTTTAATAAAAAACACATTATTCAGGCTACCCTATGACCGAAGGGTTAAGACTCGGCGCTATCAAGCTATTGCCAGTTACTGTAGCATAAGTTCGATCCCAGGCCACAGAACTAACATATGGCACAGCAGACCTCTCATGACCCACAAGCTCACTGGTCCCCTCAGCAGTGTACTTCGTCCATCTGCCTGTTCTGCTCTCCACTCTGTCTCTGGTGAATACTCTCACTCCCCAACCCCCACACAACCCTCTGGCATACTTCTTCTATGCATAAATAAAGAACATCTTAAAAAAAAAACACCTCTGCCTGGTGGCACAACTGGTTAAAGCACAGCACTATGAAGCTGTCTGCAGCCACTGCAGTATGAGTTCAATTCCTGGCTAGGGAAGACCTCACCTGACTCACCCGCTGGCTTCCCTCAGCAGTGTTCTTCATCCATCTGCCTGTTTGCTCCTCACTCTGTCTCCAGAAAATCCTCTTACACTCCCAGTCAACATCCCTGTGCACCTCTGGCCTGTACCCCAGTTCTTATATGCATAAATAAACAAATATTTAATAAATAAATAAAACTCCACAATATCTAAGAATGTGTCAAATTCCACACACTAAAATCTACCTACAAAAAGGAAGTGAATTTTTCTGATTTCCCCCTTTATTACAAAATAATTAAAAACTGTCTCTACAGTACATTATCTAAGTACTTTATAAGCAAGAAATACACAAAGAAGACATATCCTTTACTTTTAAATAGCAAATGTTCTTATGATAGACTGATGGATTTATTTTAATAAATTGCAGGATATAAAAGATAATAGGAAACCTACAGATAAGACCCATACTTTGGTTGTTGATTTGTTTGCTTTTTAATATCTCTCAATATCTCATTTGGACTTTGACATACACAAAAAAAACCCATGACACAAGTGGATAAAACTGAACATGACTAGTTATTAGATGATACGAAATGAAGAGCTTGATCACCCAGTCCCCAGCCAGGGAGCTGACCCACATGGTGCAGCAGACCTCTCCTGTATTGCACGCGGCCCCACTTAGCAGTGTATTTCAGTAGATCTGCCCACTCTGTTCCCCACTGTCTCTGGTGAATCCTCTCATCCTCCACACATCTGGCCTGTACCTCAGTTTTTGTATGCATAAATAAGTAAATCTTAAAAAAATTAAAATGACTGCGAATTAGTAACCCTGAAATAGAGAAAAAGGCCCTCCTTGGTGGCGCAATGGGTTAAACGTAGCACTATGAAGCTGGCCACAGCAGCTTCAGCAGGAGTTTGATACGAGGGCAGGGAGGTGACCCACATGGTGTGGCAGACCTCTTATGACCCGCCCACTGCTCCCCTCAGCAGTGTTTTTCGGTACATCTGTTTGTTCTGCTTCCTGCTTTGTCTCACTGCCCCTCCAACTCTGGCCTGTACCCCAGTTCAGTTGCATTAAAAAAAAAAAAAACTTAAAAAAAAAAATTAGGCCATCCCTGGTGATGCAGAGGGTTAAAGCACAGCACTAAGACGCTAAAACCACATGATTTTGAACCCCGCCTGTCCCAGAGGTCTGTCCCAGAGGTCTGTCCCACTTGGAGTGGCAGACCTCTCCTGACCCGCCCGCTGCTCCTCTCAGCAATGTCCTTCATCCATCTGCCTGTTCTGCTGCCACTCTGTCTCTGGTGATCCTCTCACCACACCTGCACCTTTGGCCTGTACCAAGCATAAATAAATAAATCTTTAAAAAATAATAAATTAATAGAGAAATATAGTGGTGTTAATAATTATTATAATCAAAATACCAGCACCTTGACTCACTTCTAGGATACTACTAATTTAAAAACAGGTATTTATTAACAAATTTAAATAGAAAATAAATAATTTAAGTATTAAACTGAAAAAAATGTTTAAAGGACAAAGGTATAATATAATTTCACCCATATAATCACGTATGACTTTAAAAACTCATCCTTTACATTCCTGGCAACCTCTGGTGCCTATGCTAGTCACGTGGCATGCTCTTCTAGCTCTCTCCCTACATAGCTGTTTTATTAGACTCAGTTCAAATGTCACTTCCTCTGATGAGCCTTCCCTTTCTACCTGACCTAAACAGGTTCCCACTAGTTCTTTTTTTTTTTATTTATTTAAAGATTTGTTTATTTTTATGCATACAGAAATGGTACAAGCCAGAGGTGCAGCGGCAGTGAGAATATTCACCAGACACAGAATGGGGAGCAGAACAGGAAGTTTGACGAAGTACACTGCTGAGGGGAGCAGCAGGCGGGTCAGGGAAGGTCTGCTGTGCCATGTGGATCACCTCCAGGGTCAGGAATCAAACTCGCAACTCTACATCCTTACCCGCTGTGCAAGCAGGGAGGGCCGGTTTCTGCTAGTTCTTTCTCCCCTTCAATCTCTATTTTTCTGTCCATTTTCTTTATGGCATTTAACAAAACCTGTAACAACCCTAATTATTTATTTATCACTGTGTTTTTCCTACTAGAATCTACACTTCACAGGACAAAAACAGAACCCCAAGTGCTGGGCATAGAGTAGGCACTCAAATATCTGCTGATTTAAATACTTGTGTATATTGAACTGAATTTAATTAGCACCTTAGCAATGACAGCTTAATTTTTGGCGATAGCAAAACCTGTGGTTTCTGCCTTCATTTTCTACTTGGTTAAGCTTAATTTTATTTTTGCCAAATTAAATATAGAATGAAAGTCAAAAGCTTCTTTAAAATCACCAGAAACCTCTGACAGGTAGATATTCTCCCAGATGCATGAACCAGTCATCCTAACCTTGCTCCAATGTGAAATCAGAGACCAAAAGATCTGACAGTTTTGCTATCCTTCAACTAACTGGCATGTGTTCAGCAATCATCTACTAAGACAGTTAGTTGCTCACTGTAATGCTATATATTCTGCTGTGATAGTTTGTAAATATCTTAAGCAATAATTAAGGGTTCAAATTCAATCACATGTGGCACAACTAATATCAATTGAAACCGTAACTGAATAAATAATACACAAAGCTAAATTCTACCAAATATGAATTCTACTGCTATGTAATAATTTACTTGCTTGTATAGAGATATTTATTCAAACAAGACACATCATGATTTCAAAATGGGGGTTGGGGGGAAGTATCTTACAGGTCAATAAATAGTGAGCCAATGTAAACAACATATCACCTACTTTCCAAAATTCATCTGGTTTTTTTTTTTTGAGGTAGAATATTTATTTTTAGGATTTTAAAAATAATGTAATAGTTTATTTTTACATCATTTTGTGCCATTTTCCATCTCAGTTCTAACCCCCGTGGGCTTCCCATCACCAAATCACCCATGTGCCATCACCACAGTCCAGTGCACTTTCCTCCCCCAACATTTTTGATACATTTATCTAATTTAGTAAGCAGAAAAATACAGTGGTTTAGAATAATACTCAAATTTCTTTTTTTTTTTAAAGATTGTCTTATTTACACATACAGAACTGGGGTACAAGCCAGCGGAGCAATGGCAGTGAGAGGATTCACTAGAGACAGAGTGGGGAGTAGAACAGGTAGACTGACCAAGTGCACTGCTGAGAGGAGCAGCGGGCGAAACAGGAGAGGGCTGCTGCACCATGTGGGTCAGCTCCAGGGCCAGGGGTCAAACTCGCACTGAAGCAGCTACAGCCAGCTTGCAGTGCTGCACTTTATCCCACTGCTTTGTCACCAGCAGGATAATTTCATCTCTTATCCCTTTCACTCTACACTTTACAAGCTTATTAATTTCATTTTTTAAAAGTCCATTATACATCAACATAAGTAACATCTTAAAGTTACAATTTTATTTTTCTAAAACAAAAACAAATTTAGTGAGAAAAGCAGTGTTTCACATTTTTTGCAAATCTCATAATGCTTCCATAATCAATCTGTTACTGAAAAATTTCACTATTCATCAGAAAATGACAGTGAAGACAAATACTGTCTTGGTATTAATATAAAAATAGTTTTGGTTCCACCCACTTAAATGATTCCCAGAACAGGTTCTAAGCATGGACTCTGGAGTGAGAAAAGTCTAAGTTTAAGATAACTAGTCTATTAACTAGCTAAACTTAAATCCTCTGTGTCTCATTTTTCTCATATCAAAAACAGGAATAACAGTAATTAGTTCATATAGTTATTATGTACTTACCACAGTTCTTACCACAAGGTAAACACTAAATATGTGCTTGCTACAAGTATTATATAATTAATTTTCATTATACTATGTTCCATAAAGTAGCTTCTGTTTTTTGCATGTAATAGATAAGAAAAATTAAGCTATAAAGAGGCTAAATGACCCTCACAAGGTAACACAATATATGTGGCAAAACTAGATTTTAATTTAATCCCTAATCTAATAACCTATGGTTGAAAAAGATGCTGTAAAACTGGCCCCTTTTTTATGGGTCATACTAATTTCCTGCCACAACATTCTATATTCCAACCAAATTTTCCTCACAGTTTCTTTATGCCTTCAGGTACATCTTCATACCAATGCATCTGTGTAGGCCATTCCAACAAGGAATGCTGTCCTGCTTTGTAAATAACTGGCTCCATTCAATTATTAGCAGATAAAGATCTTTATCTAAATAGCAGTCCTTTCAACTTCAATGACATTTTCTAGTCAAACAAATATGTTTCCTTACTGGAGTTTTAATCTAGTTACTTTCTAAATCTAAAATACTATAAATAAATTTTAGCATCTATATTTGAAAAATAGGATAGTACTGGTTGCAGAGATATTTTGCAAATATTTATTTCTTAATTAGATTGAGTATCATAGTATCTAGAGGTGGCTCTTGAACAGATATAAAATATTATACTGCAATTTTTTCCTTTATTTATTTAAATGGAAATCATAGAATTCTAAAGATCATTTCTTCTACTATATAATATACAGTAATATACCTGGCTGCATGAAAACTGTATTTAAAAGCAAAAATCAAGCTGGTGCACCAACATGCTACAACAATTCAGGTTTACAATGCCTTACTTCCAGAGTATACAATAGAGAGGATATCACAGAAGATGATGATCATTTGGTGACTACAGTAATGGCAATCTTTATTAGCAAGTTCTGACTAAAACAAAATAAAATAGCAAACTGCTAGATATGATCTAAAGGAAGATGGTAACTGCTTGAGGAGAAGCCACTCTCACAGTACTTGTACAAGTACAATAAGTTGTTACATACATGGGTATAAATTGTATCTTAGCTAACAAATAGCATGTATCTTTTTTAGATGTTAATCTATAAAGAACCAAATACAAGAGACAGTACAGTGTAAGAGATAGAGTATGGACTTTGGTTCTATATTACTTGCCAGTTCCATGTCTTATAAACTACATGTCCTAGGGAAAGGGACTTAAAATACCATATTTATGGGCCCTCCTTGGTGGCACAATGATAGTTAAAGCAGAGCATAATGAAGCTATCCACAGCCATTGCAGCACGAGTTCAATCCCCCACCAGGGAGGTAACACATATGGCAGACCTCTTCTGTCTAACCTGCTGCTCCCCTCAATAGTGTACTTCAGTGGATCTGCCTATTCTGCTCCCCACTCTGTCTCTAGTGAATTCTTTCTGATCCACCCCCCCACCCACACCTCTGACCTGTACCCCAGTTCTTTCATGCATAAATAAATCTTTTTTTAAAAAATACCATATTTATGAAATAGGGAACAGCCATACCACCCTTAATGCACCCAATCTTGTCATAAAATGGAGATGACACTACCTATTGATATATGAAAGGTTCCTTTTTTTTTAGATTTAACAAATTAAGCTATCAGTGAACAAAGCAACCTATGACAACTGCTCTCACTGGTTTCTGTTAGATCAAAATTATCAGGTAAACAAAGCTATATTTATCAAGGCAACATATAAAACAGTAAAAACTGATTTTGCTGTTATTAATTTTCAAACTCTGAAAACAACTATAAAGATATTTCAAGGCATAAATTAAAGCTGCGCCACTACTATAACTGCCAAATTCTTAAGATAAAGCCTGGAGCTCTATTAACCAGTTGTAACCACTAGCTACATGTTATTATTTAAACTTAAATTAATTAGATAAATTTAAAGAAATCAATCCCTTAATTGTAATAGCTACATTCAGTAGCTCTATGGAGCTTGTATCTCCCATACTGAACAACAGATAGGGATAAAAACCATTATCACAGAAATTCTATTCGACAACACTCATCTAGATGTATCTGGATAATATGATTAAGCTCAGTAAACTTAATTGTAAAGTTTAGGCAACAAAAACATAAAAAGATACAACTTTCAGAACTAAAATTTGAAGGTCATAATCACTATGTGATTGTTTCAGGTAGAATGTATCTACCAAATATGCACAGAAAATTCATTCTTCATCCTTTAAGAAGTTAAATGCTATAATTTTACCTCTGTTCTAAGATCAGTTTTCTAAAGGAGGAGGTGGCACAGGAATGCAGCAGAGTTCAAATGTGGAATTCATTTGTTGAGATTTAAATATTTTCCAACTCTATAAAAAATGAAAATGAGAAGCTGTGAAATACCAAGAGATAACTGACTTCAGAATATCATACAAAGGAGAAAGCTTGACAAGACACATACAATGTAATATATCTAACTTAAATAATTAGGGATTAAAAAATTTTATAATAACTAGCATATACTTGTGTAACATTATCAAGTCTAATTAAAAATCATTAAAGAAGGAGAGAGGAAGCCTTAAGTTATAGCTTCAAATATATCATAAATTATCTGCAAGAATTAAACAGGTTACTTAAATTATCTGGAGTATCATTTGAATAATCTATAAAATTATATACCAGCTAAAATTTCTAACTTTTTATATACCAGCTAAATCTAACTTTTCAAATGTTACAATAATAGCACACACACACACACACACACACCATGAAAATGCTAATACACAGTGTAAAATTAAGCATAAGTATAAATCTCATAAAATAACATTGGATGAGTTTCACAGAACTGAAAATTTTATTATTTTTAAAAAGAACAAAGAAAGTGCTATTACTTGAATTTGTGGCACAATAGCATATTAAAATTTTTGATTGGAGAGAATAAATTTCAATTGCTAAAAGTACACTTTTCTCATAAAATAATTTTATTTTCGTCTTTTAAAGCTACATTTATTTATGCATAAAGCTATATTTATTATGCATATTTATTTATGCTATATTTATTTGGGGTGCAGGCCAAAGTTTCAAGGGGTGAGAGGATTCACGAGAGACAGAATGGGGAACAGATCAGGCACATCTATTGAAATGCACTTCTGAGGCGAGCAGCAGGGGAGACAAGAAAGGTCTGCTGCACCATGTGGGTACCTCCCTGGTCAGGGATCGGACTGGTGCTGCAGTGGCTGTGGATAGCTCTGTGGTGCTGTGCTTTAACCCACTGTGCCATCCAGAAAGGCCCAAATAATTCCATTTTCATGTAACTGATGCCTGACTATATTAAGTTCTACCTCTGTTATTCAAAACTATATTACAACTTTAAAATCTAAATCACCAATGTAAAATTCAAAACAGGTTCTTTAACAAAATATTATTTTTAAATACAAAGAATAACAATAAAATTTTCTTGGAGTTAGATTACATATGACTGTAAAATCTCCAATGAATTTTCAGACTTAAAATGTATCAGAGGCCCACCATGGTGGCGCAACTGGTTAGGACACAGCACTACAAGCCGGCTGGACCTGCTTCAGCATGAGTTCGATCCCCACCTGCCCCAGAGGTGACCCATACCTTTCCTGATCCGCATGCTGCTCCCCTCAGCAGTATACTTAGTCCATCTGCCTGTTCTGCTCCCCACTCTGTCTCTGATGAAGCCTCTCACCACCCCTGCACCTCTGGCTTGTATCCCAGTTCTGTATGAATAAAAAAATATATAAATCTTTTTAAAAAATGTATTAGAACTTGCTACTCCCAACAACAGTAGCTGACTTTTTAATCACTTATATATTGGCTATCACTTGAGATTTTCATTTCATAAAAGGTTTTACAGTAGTGGAGGGTTTGAGGGTGAAAACGTGAAAAAGACTAACAGAATACCTTTGCAAAGATATACTACACTGACTGATAATACTTTAGGAAGTAGACCTTGATATCAAGGAAACAGAGTAGGAAGTAAGATTCTAGCCATCTTTTTTATACCTTGAAGATTCTGAATCACCAAAACAATAAATTTAAGAGTGCAATCAGGCAGATTTGAGAACTATGCTGGAACTTCTGCAGAGATATGCTTCAACAATATTTCCTAAAGACATAGATATTCCTTAGGCTCTTTATTTAGATATAAACAAACAAACTGAAAAAACCAATGGGGGAAATGATGTGAAAAATTAGTTTTATTCAAGTTTAACACGGGCCTAAAACTGTTCAATTCCTTAATAATTGGGGGCAATGGGTCCCTCATTCTTAAGAGTGACAGAAAAAAACTTTACGCCTATAGGAAGATGACAGTGTTAAGATACTCTATGGTTTTTTCATGCACAAAGTATATAAATATGGGACATGTTCAAAATGTCTAATACATATATAAGTGAAGTATCAGATGAAAGAGAAAGATAAAAACAATATTCAAAGAGAATAAAGTGGCTTTACAAAATAAATGAAAGAAATCAATTCACAGACTCAATACATTCTGCCAAATCCAAATAGAATATATTCAAAGATGACTATACCCAGGATCTGATAAAACTATGAAAGAAAGGAAGGGAAAAAGAGATTTGTAAAGGTAACATAGAAACAATAAAATTAACAGCAAATTTCTCAACAGAAACAACAAACCAGAATGTTACAGAACATGGTTAAACCAACAAAAGAAAATTTCTCCCAATCCAGAAAACAACATCCAGCAATAATATTCTACAAAAATTAAGATGGAAAAGTGGGTTCTGGGAAGATGGAAGAGAAAGCACAAGGAATGAGTCAACATCAACTCAATTATACCTGAAAAATCTGTTTGATGTAACTATTTTGGAACTGTAGAATCTAGTGAATGTGTGTATTTCCATGGGAAGACTTGTGTTTTTTGTAATTTTAATTGCAACTAATTTTGATCACCTCTTAGCACAGTAAGTTACCAAATTACAACCCCAGTCACTTGGCAAAGAGCTACACATGTTTCTGAAGCAATTTGCTGAGGCCAAGGTGAGCATCCTATTCTACAAACACTGGAGATCTGTGCTCTGATCACCAATTGCTGCTTCTGTTCACAGAAATACAAAGTTGGGCAGCCATGTTATTGCACCCCCCCTGGTTGTTGAAAGTTCCATTTCTCCCACTGAAGTGACTTCTGGGAGATCTGAAGAGTCTGTGCTCATTTACCATCTACCTCTCACTATCCTCTTTTTCCCTTTGTGGCAGTTAAAGACAGGTGCATTCAAAATCAACTGATCTTTACATCTCAGGAGACACAATAACCTTCAATTAAAAATACAACAACAATAAACAATAATAAAACCCAGCAAACTCTGGGGAAGAACCAAAATTTAATTTCGGGAGTTAATATAGAGTAAATGTCTAGCAAATCAACAACAACAAGATAATAAGGCATATGAAGAAACAAGAAAGTGTGTCCCATTCAAAGGGACAAAATTAAAAGAAACTATGTAAAAAAGACCGGATGGCAGATATATCAGACAAAAACTTAAAATAACTGTTTTAACAATATTTAAAGAACTAACAGAAGATTTGGAGAAAAATTCAAAAATGATGTATGAAACAAAAGAAATTCTAGTGCTAAAAATACAACAGTACGAGACTCAGAAATGGTAACAAGACAAATAGGTGATATCTTTCTCATCATTATTCTTAACTGCTATTTTCTACAAAGCTAAACAGAAAATAAGGAGACTCGATGAACACTATATGCTAATATATTGAATAATTTAGTTGACATGGACAAATTTCTGGAAAGGAACATGTTACCAAACCTCACTCAAGAAGAACCGTCTTATATCTATTTCTTAAATGGAATTTGAAGTTAAAAAAAAAAACTGTTTCACATAAAAAAGAATAGAGACCTATTTTATGGATGACTGAAAGCATCAACAGTGAGATAAGCCTTCTGACCTAAATTCTCTAACATAATGTAATAGTAACCGACCATTAGAAAATTTTGAAGCTTGACAAGGGACTATGATGATGGCACATGGGTAAACTGGTGGTGGGAAGTCCAAAGAGATTACAAATGAGATGAAAACTGTACAAAATGGAGAATGATTGTAAAAAATACATATATATTTAAAAAAAATTTTTTTAATGTGAAGCTTGAAGTGCACTAATTGTAATAATAGTTAGCAACAAATACAATCCCCATTCAACTTCTGAGTAGATTTACTCAAACCCTGAACACCACAGGATAGACAGAAGTGTGCTCATTTTCAGGTATAAACACAATTTGCTTCAGTCTCTACTGTTCCATACATAATGTTTGGCATTTAATTAAAAATTTCCAGACAGGGGCCCTCCCTGGTGGCACAGCGGGTTAAAGCACAGCACCGAGAAGCTAAAGCCACTTCTGCATGAGTTGGATTCCAACCTGCCCCGGAGGTGACCACATGGCGTGGCAGACCTCTCCTGACCCGCCCGCTGCTCCCTTCAGCAGTGTACTTCATCCATCTGCCTGTTCTGCTCCCCACTCTGTCTCTGGTGAAGCCTCTCACCGCCCCTGAGCCTCTGGCCTGCACCCCAGTTCTGTATGTACAAATAAATAAGTATTAAAAAAATTTTTTTCAAGACAAAAATAACCATCTGTAGGTCAAGCAATACAGCAATGAACCTCAACACGGGATACTGGACAGGGGCTTCATAATGACTAAGATAATATATTAATGGGTCTTGTGAAAAAGCTGGGCAACAAACAAGAATTACAACAGAGGGAAGAAAATGATAACAAAGAATCAAAAGAAAGAATTAGAATTTTTCTAAAACTCACTCAGTCTGATAAAAAATTTCTTCTCTAGGCTCACCAACAAACTCCAATACACTTTAGAAAGTACTGAGTAAAAGTATTTGGGAAAACAAATTTAAAGTCAAAAGAAATTACCAAGCCTCAAACACAGAATGTGGAAAAATTTACAAGTCATCCAAGGTCTGTGGGACAATATTAAGTTTTCTGATAATTTTACTGAAAGCCCCAAGAATAAGAGAAAATAGAGTAGGAGACACAAAGGGAAAATGGCTGAGTACTAAAAAAGCAATAAAAGACATCAAAACCACACATCCAAGAAGCTTAGATAACTCCAAGTAGGCTAATACTTTTGCATCAAAACCAAATATCACTTATATACATTTTGATGATACTTGTAAAAAGTAAAGCTATGAAAAACACAACACAGAATTTGCAAAGGAGACAGTTTTAATGCATCTCCACAAATAATCCTTCAAAGTATAAAAGTATCAGAATCACAAAGCAGAGGAGAATTTTTTGTAAAGGGTTTTTGAAATGTAATGAGTACCACTCTTTATCAGGAGAACCCACTGT